CTGGGGTCGCTCAGTATTTGGTAAACAATTAGGAAGTCGCCACTTAGCCGCCTGTAGCGTCCATTGAACACTCCCAGTGTCACCAGTCGTTGTTGGTGCAAAAGGTTGCACAATCTCTTAAGAAATTTTGTCGTTCGACTTTGGGAGTTTCGAGCGCTGCAAGAGCGTGCTCTAAACAAGTTTGTCAAGCTCGGCTTGCATATTCGACGTGGGAACGCAAGTAGACATTGAGCATCTGGGATTTGGATGAATCCAAACTCCAGAATGCCTTCCGCAAGAGACCAAGATACTCGTTATCTCTTCTTGAAGCGGACTCTGTCTGCCTGGAACAACCGAGGTCGTCCTGTGCCAGCACACCGATGTTACGTTCCTGAGAGCATGTCCGCAGATTGTGTGCCTCAAATTTATAGACGTAGGCCTGTCGATGGCGAGAGTGGACAACGCGGTAATTGTTCCTATTGAATGGCAGTACATTCCTCACCGACCAATCCCAAGCCTCATCGAGGTTGCACCGAACGGTCTTGTTGTCGTCTGTTCCCTTGAGCGCCGCCAACCCTTAACGTCGTCCGTGAAGTAAAAATTTCGGGGTGATAACTCGCTAGATTATTAAGGAAGACTAAGAGCAGGCGAGGCTCATGTACAGAAACCTGTAGTACTCCGCACGTCACTCGAATCAGGTCGGACAGAGACGTTAGGACTTTAACGTTCAACTAGAATTCACGGATAACGTTACCTATTCATCCTAATATCGGATCTCTGATGCCGTAGTGTTGATGTTTGTGCAGCAGGATTCGATGATCCATGTGATCGAAGGCTTTCGGGAAGTCCGTATAGATAACATAGGTTGCTGTTCCCACTTCGACTGTTTCGGCCCAGTTGTCACATGCTATCAGCAGATTCGTAGTAAATGTTCGATGTTAACGAAACCCATGCTACTCCGGCGGAATGGTGCTTAGCTTTCCAGGTAGCCTATCAATACGTCTGCGACGATCGCTTCCATGACTTTGGCGAGCACAGAGAGTGGTGGTACCGAGCGGTAATTAGCGGGATCAGACCGACTTCTTCCCTTGTGAAAGCAAATTAAAAATACTCTGTTTCCATGTTCCCGGAACTCCGTTTTCATCTAGCCAATGCTGAAAGAATCTGGCAAGTGGTTGGGCTGGGTGCATGGCTGCTATCTGCAATACTTTAGGTTGAATGTTATCCACGCCAGGAGATGTGTGTGCACGCAAGGATAGCAGCTTCATCAGCACTCCTTTTGCTTTGAATGTGATATTGGAGGAAACTGTTGGTGTGATGACAGAAGCAAGAATAGCGTTCGAGGTCGGTACCCCTTGAAAAGTAGGGGAGTACTCGGCCTGTAAGGCGTTGGCCGTCTCTTTCACTGTGTGTGTGTGTGTGTACACCCACCAACCGTAGCGAGTTGTGGGATTCCGCGCTGCACCTTAAGAAGTCTATTCACGTGTCTGTAAACAAGCATTTGGTTTGAGCAAACGCATTGTTTTCAACTGGGTAAAAGGATAACCCTTAACGGCTTCTTAAAGATCATAGTTTATGGAAGTATAAATCGAGGCGTTCTGTGTGTAAAATGCACTTTATACTGCGCCCAGTTGACTTTGCCGAATAATTGCTCGTCCATAAAGGATCGACTACAGTGATGGTTGCGGGCAACGCATTATAACGGTTCAAGAACGTCACTGCGATCCTGTCTGAAAATGGTCTCGGCTTTGCAATATCCAGTAGCTTGAGTGGCCACTTCGCGGGTTAACAACCGACGTCATGCAAAGTTTATAACTTCAACTGCATATCGGACGGGGAAAATCGTAACTTAAGTTGCATGTATGGTCCCATTAAGTGTTGTTCCGATGACACTTAAGAACGGTTTTGTTCCCTGTTGTTCCACTTGATTTGGTCTGTGACGAACAGCTACCGGCTACTTCGATTGGGTGAGTTAAGCACTCACGTCTGGCGTGACACTACGATGTGGATAGACGTATTCGGGCCTTTTGACAGTGGCTTCGCCAGTGGGACGAACAACTTCTTGCTCTCACTGTGTACCATTCATAGCAGGGCGAGCAAAAGCACATGGTTGCCACTTTGCTCTTGGACGCACTCACGCAGTTATCACAATCAACTGTTTGACTACGTCATCGTACATCGTGAGATGCGCAAATCCCTCAAGATGCCTATGCCACGGCAGCCTGAGTTGGGACGGACAATAGCTGTTGAACAACAACTTGCATATACTAAGAAAATCCATGTACTAATTTTTGATCACGAACTAGAGATAATTTAACTTTGGAGCTCCAGTTAACGGGGAGGCGGGGTTTGAGCTGGAGGACGCGATGTTGACAAGACGGCTACGGCCAGCTGCATATGAGCCACCTGATGAAGTAAGTGTCCAATGGAGCTGAGAAGACACTGGGGTCCGCAAATAGTGAACAGCATGATTGTTCCGACAGCACCAATACGAACATCGGCACACTGGTGTCAAAGAAGAAGGAGGCATTTGCTGCACATTAGGATCATTAATACTCCACGGGGCAGGGGGAAATCTCGTAAGAAGCGCTGGCTCGGGATATTTATCGCGCCATGAATATTGGAGGGGTTGCGAATGTAAAGTGACAGGAGTGATACACTGAACGCCGCCACCATCCAGGGTTTTATGGCTCTTAGAAGACAGTGTACGAACCCGTCTTGCCACCTATTCGAGCATTAGTTTACACTGAATCTGGTGACATTAAACGCATTTAGGTCATCTGTATGATCACCGAAATATCGATTGGGACGCGTTGTACTGTCTGTACGCTCTGAAAGACTAACTTGGTGACAAGTAAGCACCAAGAAAACACAGAGTTCACTCGCTTTATGTGAACCGGTAAGCCTGCTACTGCTGAGGAAACATTAAAGGATGGGTTTATTGGTGATCCATGCTCTGCAGTACTTAATGGCATGCGCCCGAATTCAAGAGCACTTGCCCACTGACCGGAAAAGTGCTCGTGCTATGGAAGAACAAGGGTAAATGGAGCAAGCACTGTGCCGACAATCATTCTGGGAGCAATTCGCCTGAAAAGGTTGTAAGACTCCCTATAAACTGAGTGGGCACTCACATTTTGAAACCAAACACGGCCCAATAGCAATATATACTTCCCTCATGCCGTGGAACAGCCGACTTTTGCTTTCACTTCCCGTCAACTGACGGAGTGGTACCATGAACGAGACTAGCAAGTTCCATCGTTGTTTATCAACTTCAACAAAGCGTTCGACACTGTGAATCACGTGGCTCTGTATTTGATTTTGGGAAGTATGGATGCCTAAACAACATAGCTATTTGTCTGAGTGTGCGCATCATATTATGTGGGATATGGTGAACCTGTGTTAGTAAACCTCGGATGAGTTCGGTACTCTTTCTGGTGTGGAGTAAAGCATTCCGTACAATTGCTACTCTTCTAATTCTTATGAACGGTCAGGTGGATATAGTTTGTGTGAATTCCGTGTCTACTTTGAGTATAACCTGGAACATGGATTGCTGAACATCCATCGTCCCGGAATGAGAACGAGTGCGCCAGACGACCGCTTAGATGCCGTTGTTTACCGACAAAAGGAAAATGAGTCGCAACGTATAGGGACTATAACAACTTTGATAGTGGCCAAATTAGGACCAGCTATCAGTACATGTGAGGCAGTGTGTCTTTAGCACTTGATATAACGAGCGAAGTCAACGCACTACCAACAACCAGTTCACTGACGATGTACTACAGAACCAACCAGTATTCCGCTATCTCGGGGCACGCTAACAATAGACTTGCGCCTAGGCTGCCATCTCCGCACCAGCGTAGCATTGGCGAATGCTGTCTTTGGCAAACTGGAACATAAGCTGGGGAAGAAGGAATGTTCAATAGTTGCGATCAGACCGTAGATGTACATGACAGTGGCGTTGTCGGTTTTCTTTACAGCAATTAAGTGCGGACACCATGCTGCTAACTCCGGTATATGGGGCGCTTCTATCAACACTTTGCGTCTGAGTCTGCGCACCCGTTGATATGACGGTATCTGCTACCGAAGGGATTCACCTCATAAACATGTGCGGAATGAACTGCATACCGCTACTATGGCACTTAATGTGGCTAGAACATGCCAAACATTTATCTGAATCGAAAATATTGAAATCTGATCATTAAAGTTTTTCATCGACAGGCATTTCGTATGGCGGTACGGGGAAGTGCATCGGTGGATCCGAATGGTCAGAGAACTTTGAATGATTGGAAACGCTAACTGCTTAAACGATGATCCGCGCAGCGAGCAACCATGCGCTTAGGTAAGGCTTAGATATCTCATAGATAGGACAGCCAACTAAATTTAGACTTACCTGCGGGAACGGCATGATCGTATTCGTGATTGTATGCATGACTGTATTCATGCAGAGTTAAAAACAATCTGCGATAGCGAACATAAAGTAGACAAGGTAGTAAAACGATTTTGAAAATTCCGTGATCATCTGAAGGCATCGCGGTCAAGACCGCAAATTGCGGCTGTGCTGGACGTCGTCAAGATCAACGTCTATGTGGATGGAGCAGATGGGATGGAGCTGTCGAATACCCCGCATCCAAACTTACCCTGGCCAGCATGATGAATGTTTGTGGGTGGATCGTGAATTCCAGTGGACTATCAGTGCCAATCCAATCACCAGTATCATAGGTATCAAAGCGACGGTCTACTAGTTATCAGGACAATGTATGCTTACTGTACAGCTTGAGAATGCAGTTCGACTTTCACTTGTACTCGTTGCCTGATTGACAAGCCTACGTTTCAAAGTTTGACCATGTTTGTTTTAAACTTTCCTATAATCTTACACCACATGGATAGGCCTTTGTATTAACAAGGAAATGTTTTCCAGCAAATATACTGCCTGATTTTCTCCAAGCATTTTTAAATTGGTGATTGTCAGGTCAACGTAAAACATACTCCAATCTATCGAAACTGGCAATCCATTCACGCAATCAAATAATCACATCAGATGATGATTTTTTACGTCTAATGGAAGGCACATCTAAGTGAATGATGTTCGGCGTAGCGTTCAGAATATTCGTACTCAAAATGTATTCCATGTTACCCACCTCGGCTTCCAACTGAAATATTCGACGCTGCAGTTCCCGTATGTCCTGGCGTAGCTCTCGATCTCCAATCGCAGAAGCCTCCAGTTCCTCCATCCTTGATACGTTTATTGCTTCTAACCGTTCCATATGTCGTTGTAGAGTTTGGCACCTTGATTGAACTCTCAAAAGCTGTTGTGACAGTGAGGTGAAAGAGGGTGAGCATCAATTGACCGCGTGTGCTGAAAAGTGGTCTCACCGAAATTCGTAAGCGTTATAGTCAAAACTACTAGTTAACCAGTAAGAGAGTAGTACCGATAGCCCTAGTTAACTACGTTTGATTCCGGGTGGGTTATACCAAATAACTATCTGCATGTTGGATTATTCTTATGGAAATGACAAAATAAGAGTAAGAAACTTATGTTTATGAATTTTACTGAAAGGCAGGCATATCTCAATCCGACGCCTATCCGAGTAAAGTTCCCACAGGATGAGGACGAAGTTCCTTTCAAACCTATCTCGAAGTGAGAAACACAAGTCATGTGCGCTCGATAGGTTACGCACAATTAAAAGCCCGTTGTCACCATAAGCTAGGCAGTTCCTTCGTTAGCAACTAGACTGGTTGAATTTCTAGTTTATGTACAAAGGAAGGATTTACTGTCTGTTATGATGTGCTATTTGTCAACTGATGAGTTAAATTCGTGGCTTTCACGAACTAGACTCGAACTTCAGTAAGCACGGATGGTATCTACGGACGCGAAATCCTCTCGAATTAAGAAGTCGCAAAGGAATGTAAGGTTGCAAAACAGATGTCTGTCTATATTAATCTTGTTCGGCCACGGATATCCTCGTTCATTAGTTAGCCACATTATAATACAATATTTCACCCAGCAAACAACGACAATATTTCTTTTGAGATACATAATGCCTTGGCGTGCAATACGCATTTCATACAGAAGAGGACTTTCTCACTTGCTGGTGAGTTGTCTATGTCAGCTCACGTCGAAAATAATTCCCTTTTTTGCCGTGGCATGCTGATAAGTGTTTTGAGAACTTTTATTGTTTTTCTAGAAAGCATCATTTGTTTCTTGTTGTAGAAAGGATAGACCGCGTTAAACTACAGGGTAGATTACATATTCAGAAGGGTAAGTTCGCGGCCACAGTGAAACAACCGTATGGGAAATCGTGTTGTAGGCCACTGATGAAACATCGTCTGAGCCAAGTCTAGGTTGGTCCTCGGAAGCGGTTAGGAGACCAGCCAACCGAAATTTGTGCGGAATACCTGAGAGCATCTGTGTCTCAGCTACCAGAAGAACCTACGGAATAGTCAAGTCTGCCGTATCGAGGATGCTCTTATCGATACAACTCCAGCTCATCGCTGGAGAGTGGTGGAACACATTCCATCCTAACTGATTTAGGCTAAGTTACATGCACCTCAAAAAATCAGGTGATCGCCATGCAACTCAAAGTAGTCACCGTAAAACACTTTAGGTACAAAGGTTAACCTAGATATAATGTGAAATCCTGCTACCTAATGATAAACTGACGTGTTTCGGAAACCACTACATTGGTGGTGCTCACCGTGCTAAAGGACATCCGTTATACAAACTGATAATCACGTTCATAACACATTAAAAAGGAGAAATCTAGTTATGTAAGTCCACATTGCCGATCACGGTACTACTACATATCGATGGCTTGCAGTAACAGCCCAGTAGATTCAATAGGCTATCCCACACTGCCATCGGTTTCTTATAAAAGTTAGCTACTCATCCTTAAAACCAGGTAGTCGTGCAACAACTGTGTTATATTGTTGTAAAGTCCCCAAAGAGGATGGCATTCAACACTGCCTAGTTAGAGCATTTAGTGCTTCTCCATTTAGGCAGTTACATATGACTCACTTCCATTCGTGTTTCTCTCAAAGACAGCAGAGCGCGGGCTTCTCCTTGTCTGGCAGCAAATGCTTCGATACGGAAGTCTGGCTTTGCTGGTCCGAGACCGAACGATCTTCTGAAAGAAGCGCGCAGTTTACTAAATCTGTCTCCAGTAGTCCATTTAATATCAGACTGTATTGTCCCCATGCTGTCTACATGATCTAATGTATGTCTATCCTCCGTTGGAGTTGGTGCGTCATCAAAATTTCGGTCACAGAGTGCGATGTTATCTTTTGATAGGGCCGATACAGGGGAATTCAATTCGCCGTAAAATCCCGAGGTGTGTGCCTGTTCGGTGGCACTACTCCTGCTTCGTCGAAGCAGAGTCACAACTTTGCGTGGATATGGGTTTTGAAATGCTCGATCCTCGGCAAATCCATGTTCTAAGTAGGGCTCGTTCTCTAATGAATCATTGATCGCGTATACCTGGTTCCTCGTCTTCATTGACTCCGGTTCATCAAAACTGTTTATCGGATCCGTGGCATCTGAAGGAGTGTGACTGTTTAGACTACAGCCACTGTCACTCTGGGGTGACTCGAGGCCTGATCGATGAGAGAGTTCTGGTGTATCCGTGTCTGCACTAACCTGAGAAGAGCATCGGCCAACCTGAGCACAAGGATATTTGCCCATCTTTGCGGACGATCGCCGATCAGAGCAAGTGGTTCCAGTTGGATGCCCTGATTTATATACTTGTGTTGCGCTCCGGTGGGCAGATTTGACGTGACCTTGCTCCCGAGTCATACATGGTTCTGACTGGTTCTGAGAGGTGCGCTGGATTGGCTGCGTTTTGGAAAGTGCAGTGGTCGATATGGTAACCGCATTAAAGAAAGACTCCATCTCAGGATCCTGTGGACAAAAAGAGTTGCAGGTTGTAAATCAGAAAACGTGATACCGTTCAAACTCCGTATTAATTCTCCGCTTTTGTGTCGTATTCAAATGTTCGAATTTCGTTTGATCAAGACCGTGTTGGCTTCCGTTATACTGAACGTAGTTAAGGTTTATTTATGTATTCAGTTGCCTGAAAGTTTGAAGAATACACAGCATAATACTTCAGTACTGGCTAAATTTTCATAAGCACTGTAAAAGGAACGGCACCAGTATCCGATGAACGCACAGTAAATGTCAACTAAGCGCCAGATGGGTGAGGGATGAGCGCCTGATGGGCGCCTTGGCGGTCAAAGCCTGTGTCGTTCATCGGGTGTTAGCTGAGAAGAATTGGGCGGCGCTCCTCTTTAACCGCTCAGTCTTTCCCAAATTTTACCCTCTATTAGAATAACCTAGCCGTATTAGCTTACCACTCTTTAGCACGGACTACACGTTATTGCAATTTCCCACATCTGGCGATATACAAAATATGTACGTAGTGACAACATTACGGACAACTTACAGACCATAAGCTTGCTGCGCAAACTGTTCTGTCTCCCCTATCGCGACGATGTGCATAAAACTGGGTCTATATTTTATTGCATCTTTACAGCAAATATCATATTTTACGACCACCCGGTGTATGTTCGGCATCGGGAGCTGTAGTGCAACGATGTTGATAATAGGGTTGAAGCTTGATACACTTCAGCAGGTCCTGTGGCTTAACTGTACACCATCAGAAACGTCTCTAGGTAATGGATTGGACACTGCATTCTTCGTTGAGTCTATCGCGACTAAGTCTCGTTTGCTTTGAAGGCAAGATGAATAAGCAGTCGCGGACAGTCAGTGGCAGCGTCTGAGAGTGTGGGAGTTTTGGGCTGATCACCAGTTTCTCCATCAAATAACACAAGAGCTCGTACGTCGCTATGGCAAAGTCTATGTGACCGACTATAGTGTCACTGACCACTCACTTCTGTAAGCAAAGGTGAGTAAATAACGAAGGCGGATGAAAAGCTTTGTTGACCACAAATTCTTTACGGACGCTTACCGAACACAAAGAAGGCAAATAAGCTACCTGGTTATCAACGGTCTTCGTATTCAGTGGGACCTTCGATCAGGAAGTTTGACCCTTCGATCGGGAAGTCTGACCTTTCGATCTTTTTAAAAATGCTTAGTACTTACGTGAGGCCGCACGCGGAATACGCTATCCAAGCGTGGCAACCCTGGCTCAAGCACCATCTCACCGCGCTCGATACTGCACAACGTAGGGCAACGAAAAGCGTCAGAGGTTTGACCAGCCTCCCCTACCCACTCAGGCTGAAGACCCTCAAAATATACAGTGGACGTTATAGGTGTCTAAGGGGCGATCTCATAATGTTGTGCCATATCCTGAGAAACCCCAACCACCCATGCCATTCCCTCTAATACTCAATCAAAACACCTCGCTAAGAGGTCACCAGTTTAAGTTAGTCACGCAGTACAGCCGCCTGAAATGTCGGCGAAACTATTTCTCCCTTCGAGTGGCACAGCCTTGGAACGCCCTCCCGGAACATGTAATTAATGCACCCACCCTATCCCTTTTCAAAAAACGCTTTGACGATACCCTGTCACATTTACACTACGTGCTATAGCTCATGACCATCAGATGCTGACACTAATGCACAACAGACAGGGGATAGTGCCACAACCCTACTCGAGAATGAGTCACTCCAAACGCCTTGCACGAAATTTGATAAACGCTACTACTATAGAAACTGGATTTCTGTTTACCGCCGACCCAAGATACATGCACACGAGTAAGCGTTGTCTTTGCTCTCCTTTTATTTTTCTCGCCTATGATGTGAACAATAACCACTCCCCTGTTGCTTTGTGTGCGTACATTCTCATCTCAAACTCCCTTTATACGACAGTGCAGTTACATCTGTAAGCGCCGGAACTGACGACTCCATTATCCCTTCGCTACCGTTGTTTGTCACGCTATACAGCCTACGGGACATGGCAAGCACCTGCTTTTTTACCCGTTATAAATCATTGTTCATTGTTTGTTGTTCCAATAATATACTTTTATCGTTCCGTGCATTGCGGGTCAGGATTTTAGGAATAAAGGCTCCGGGTAGTCTCTCAATTCAATAATTTTCACCTGCTCACGGATTCTCTCAGCTCTCCTGGTTTTTCTTTCAATATAAGTTGCACGACATGAAAAAGTAAATGTGTACGCACAGAAAGAAGTACTTGACCGAGGAAGTCTTTCCTTAAGTTGTAGCCTTACGATTGATGTTTAAGTAAATAGCCGTAAGATTGCCGCGTAGCAGGTACGTTTGATAGCGTTGGATAGCCTACTAGACGTTGCCTGCGCTATTCCAACCATTGTGAACGGGGATTTACTTTAACACCAGTTGTAAGGTTTCAACTTAAGGACAAAGTTTCTCGGTCAAGCACTTCATTCTGTGTATACTCCTGTAATTGTATATGTCGAGCAAGTTATATCGGGAAAATAACCAGGAGACAGTCTGAGAGAATCAGTGAGCATTGTCCGAATTGGATGAGTGCAGCTGGAACAAAAAGAGTGACGAGCACCGTGTTAGCAAACCTAGTTGATTTTAACCACCAGATCGATGCGCCTGGGTGACCAGTAAGCTATCTGCACTTAATACATACAAACCAGCCTATTCCTTTCCTTGGCTGTCCTTTCTCCTTTCTCCATTGCAACAAATCTGTGGAGGCAATCTACGAATATATATATATATATATACAGTTGGCGGCATCAGGTTTCGGATTTGCCTGTCACTGTGGCCAGACACAGGACGCCTGCGCCTACAGAGGGACCATGGGTGGCTTGCGCTGCACCACCCACAGCTCCAATCACACACCCCATATCCAGTGTAAACCCGAAGGAATAAGACCGGGAGGCATGTGGATGTTAGCCACGTTTCATAAACGGAGCCGGCCCACACTCCTTCACAGGCAAATAGAAGCACGCTGTATTTGGGAAATCAAGCGCACACAAGACGGTGGCTGGACCGTAGTCAGCTCCACACTGAGTGCATGGAACCGCTCTGTGAGCCTAGCACGGCCACAAGGACCATGCACCCTGTCCCCTCCAGCAACGACCAACTGTCTCCTGGAGCCAGTATGGACGAGGTAGTGGGTAATAGACAGGTAGGCTCCTTGCCAACATACACATCAAGCGCAGCCACATCGGGGATATCAAACAACAGCCAATCATTTAAGAGAGAGAGAGACAAAGAAAATAACTCGATTAATGCATACAGATACGGTGACATAAACCTTAAGTTAATGAGCATATGTAACAAGTTGTTTACAAACGAATCCTAGATATGTTCGCGAGATCAGAAAGTATACTTTACGGAATACCTCGAGCACAAAAATGCCGTGGAAATCGACTATAATTGACTTAAGCGAAGCGTGCAAGTTAATGGAATAGAGTACAGGTAGACATTTGCATGAGAAAGGGAAGCATTTAGGCAAAATTGAAAAAAACCCACCACCTGAAATAAAGAGACTTAGCATGCAAGCACGCGGTTAGTAAATCGAATGCAGCGTGCCTACAAACGCTGCGCCGGTGGTGTCTACCTTCTCTGCAGAACCCGTCGTCGCTTCTGTAGTAGTCCCGAGTGGCCTTGCTCATGGCTCACTAGGAAAGGGTGACATATATCTTAAAATAATGAGCATCTGAAGTAAGTTGTTTACAGAAGAATGCGAGGTAAGTTCACGAGGTCAGAAGGCAAACTTTACGGAAATGCCACGAACACGAAAATGTTTTCGGAAAGGACTAGAATTGGCTTAAGTGACGTGTGCAAGTTTATAGAAGAAAGTACGGGTAGACATTTATACGAGAAAGCACAGCATTGGGACAAAATTGAAAACCCACCACCTGAAATAAACAGACTTAGCACGCAAGCAAATGGTGACATAAATCTTAAATTAGTGAGCATATGCAATAAATTGTTTACAAAGAATACGCTTACAAAAGTATACGAGGTAAGTTCACGAGGTTAGGGGGTTTAATTTAAGGAAATGCTACAAACACGAAAATGTTATCGAAATAACTACAAGTGGCTTAAGCGACGTGTGCAAGTGTTTAGAAGAGAGTATAACTAGGCTTTGTACGGGAAGGAAAAGCATTAGGGCAAAATTGAAAAAACCCACCACCTGAAATAAAGAGACTTAGCATGCAAGCACGCAGTTAGTAAATCGAATGCAGCGTGCCTACAAACGCTGCGCCGGTTCTGCCTACGTTCTCTGCAGAACCCGTCGTCGCTTCGGTAGTAGTCCCGAGTGGCCTTGCTCATGGCTCACTAAGCCAGCCTGACTAAGGCACCCGCGACCGCAGGTTCTACAGCACCATACGCTTGACGTCGATGAACTACAATCCATCGGTGCTTGCCGCTTCCGAACTTGCCGCTTCTTCTCTGCATGTGACGATTGGCACATTTGTGTCGGAGAAGAATGCAGCATTTGCTGCACAGGTGGCCAACCCCAGCGACTTGTAGAAGAAAAGAAAGTTCAGCAGAATTCGACGACGACTGAATCGAGAGCGTCGTCCCATTGAAAATGCATGGTGGACACAGAAAGCATAGCAGATAGAATGCTACGCAGAATGCCGACAAAACAATGGGTTCTTTGACTCCTTGAAGGCGGTGTAGGGACTGAGGTTGGAGCAGCGAAAGGAAGCTGCTCGATGCATATTCAGTCACTGCCTGCACACAGGCTGCAGACAAAATGCAGATCTGGTGAACGTAATTCGACCGTCTCTTCTACAACCGTGCAGAGATTGATCGGTCTATATTGAACGACCTGAAGCAGCACGAAGTGAAGGTTAGGCTGGCGGACGCGCCCACAATGGTTGAGATGCAGACAGCATTCGCTCAGCTGCAAAACGGCAAGCGTGCTCGTGTCGACGGGATCCAGTCCGAAGTACTGAAACACAACAGACATGCGTCAGTGACTGCACTGCACCA